TCTAGGTAAGCCCTTGTTACATGCGGGAGGAGAATTGATAACCATCTGGCTTCTACGCTCAATCTCTTTCACGAGAGATCTAGGTAAATCCACGTCAAGCAAAGCGCAAGTGATCTCGTTCAAACAACCATACAACGTTGTCTCATCCATCATCGTTGTTTCTCGCATCTGTTCAAACGGCCGACCAAGCCGATCTCTCAGTTCCGCCAACGCCATCGCCGGAATTTGGGATTAGCTTAAGTTAGGGATTTATGATGTTCAAAAAAGTGGCAATGTGCTCGAATCCTTTTATATATAAACTGCCCACGACCCGAGTCGCATTAGGACCCGTGCGGAATCCCCCGGCTCACCGCTCACGTAACAAATAAAATATGAATACAAAAAACTATAGTATAAAAATTAAAGTGAATGTCTTAATGGTTGAATTGAACTCCAAGTTTTTAATTTGAATCCGGAGAAAAAAACATTTAACATATTTTGTACTACTAAATTTTGGTAAAAAAACAAAATTCTGTATTAAGAGTTTTATTTTGACGCAAGGAAAAATGGTGATTGAGTTAATGGTGATTTGAGGCCTTATCTCAGTTATCTGGGAGGTATACTGGGATCTTTGCGTGTCACACAATAATACATGGATTCATATCCAAACTTTAGAAACAGAGGAATTTTCTACAGCTATTCTCTGTGATTTTTTTCAAGATTCCATCATCTTTATGAGAAACGCAATCTCTAACGCGGATTCCTTAGTTTGCAAGAACCGGTTTTCTTCAACAATATCAGTCGTCAAGTTGAGTAAGACCGGGCGTTCAGGGTCATTGAAGGTTTTGTCACGGACTTTTGCAACCCATTTCGCAGCTTCCCATACGCCAAATCTGACAATGCGAGAGAAGAAATCTCAAACATCAATCAAAAAGGAGCGTCTATAGGAATGAGCAAGTACCGGATACTTACCGAGTATTGAATGAGGAAGTGACTAAAACTGCTGGATAAACAACATCTTTAGGAATGTTGTCATAAGGCGAATATTCGCGTATCGCGTGAAAATCATTGATATCTCCTGGATATCCAAACTCTTCGTAATCCTCTGCCGTTAAGGGTAGTATTGGATGTATTAAAGTATGAGTTGGATCAAGAAAAGGAACCTGAAACAAAAACAAAAGAAACAGTTGATGATTTTAAGGTTTCGTAATCAGTCGCTGCCTTCACTTTCTCTTGATTCACAGTTTCCTGATTACCTTTAGAACCGCAGCTTGGAAGAGCTCTGGACATCGATTGATAGCTGAAGCAACGACAAGCCCTCCCGCACTATATCCCCAACCAGCTAACTTGTTTGCTTGAACTATATTGCTCTCAACAAGGAACTTGGCACAGTGAATGTAATCTTTAATGGAGTTAAGTTTCTTTGCGCCTCTTCCTTCTTCATGCCACTTCTTTCCTTTCCCACCTCCACCTCTGAAAACAAACCCAAGAAGCCAAAAATGACACATATTACATATAAGGTCAAGTATTTGAGAGAGAAGAGAAGATGGGACTGACCTAACATCTGCATATGCAAGAACCCATCCACGATCAAGGAGGCTTTTCAATTCACTATGCCATCTCTTATCGAGCATTTCACCATAAGCACCATGAACATGAAGAAGACCAGGTTTTTGGTTCTCCTCTTTCTGAGTTCTCGAGTAAACAACAGTTAATGGAACCATGGCTCCATCATGAGAAGAGACTTCGTGGTAATCACACGCATAAAATTCGGTTAAGTCATTCCACAAGTTGTCATTCTCGGCAGTAGTATCCTCAGAATCAAAACTGACAGTTCTGGTGCCTGAGGGTATATTAGGGCTCTCAGTGGAGTTTGCAGTGCCGTATAAAACCCGCGTTCTTTCGTGAAGCATGTTTTGTTGCTGTACAATGTTCCATTTCCCATTTGATAGATCATAATCAACCACAGCATCAGGCATCTGCAGACCAAATGTCAAACTCAAAAAAATTAGCAACTAGAAGCTCTTAACTACAGAGCAGAAACAACAATATGAATTGTTCCCCTACCACAAGTGAAGAAATAGTGAACCGCATTGTTGGAGAACTGAAGTCGTAGTTTGTGCCAGGAAATATTTGAGAAACGTGCTTCGGAAGAGGAAGGTAACGAGGTTTAATGTCTCTCAGATGAACCGGTACCTGCTTCTAAGAAAAGAACATGATCAAACTTATCCACAGAGCATCAATCTGATTGATGAAAGTAACTAAGCAGAGTAAGCTTCACCCGCTCTGTCTTGAGAGGTAGATCAACCACGCAAATTTTAAAGCTCTGCATTTGCTTCACAGTGAGGGAGAGATGTGTTTTGCAGAAATCAACATCCTCTATGATTAATTCAGGGTCGTCGATAAAAACTTTCTGCGAATGAAAGATGAACACATACAAATCAGAGTGGAGAATAATACTAATCAGTACATATAAAACAGATACTGTATCAGCCCAACCAACCTCCCAGACCCTTGGACTGGAAGAGAAGTGAACAGGACTTCGAAGAAGATAATGATGGTCGAGTGTTCCACCATCCTTGGAAGCATCTGTAAATAAATAGAGGAATCCCTGATGATGCTCGATTATGCAGTGCGCTGGAGCATTGTGTTCCCAAACCAATGCCAAACCAGAAAACGGGTCAGCTGCATTTATCAGAAACACCTAAGACATAGTACTTGTTATGATTACAAGTAGCTCAACAATAAAAAGTAAAAAGAGCTTATAAGAGAACAATTTGGAGCGTTCACCTTCGAAAACGTAGGAGAGAATGTATTTACAGTCACAAAGTGGAAATCTTTTGTATGTCTTATGTTAACATGAACATTGCCCTCGAGTTCTTCGCGAAGCAAAACATCTTCATCCGTTGACCCGATCGTGCTACAATATATCCTAATAACAGAACCAAAAAAAAATTGATTTACACAAGCAATTTGTAGTTGAACCAGAGAACCACAATTGATCAGACGAAAACCTGAATGGCCGTTTTTTCTGATCAGTCACGACATAGAGCAAAGCCTGCCCGTTCTTCGCCCACGCTATGTTCGAGACACGATCTGCGTGAGGCTTACTACATAAAGCACCAGAGTTCAAGTTTCTCACACACAACTTGAAGTAGTCATTGTCCTTATCATACATAGTATATGCAAGAAATTTATGATCAGGAGATATCTCCGACATTTCTTCATAAGCATAACCTACAAAACCACACACAAAAAAGAACACAAGAAAATTCCTGATTCCACTTGATCCTTACAAGTATAAGAGCCTCAAAAATTGCTTATTTACCTCCAAATCTTTGAGCTTCCTGATTGTAATCAAGCAGCTTCTGCTCAATCCTCTTCCCAGATGTAAAATCAAACCCTGCAGCAGGAGATTTATGAGAAATGAACTCTTCGTGCAAGCTCGCTAGCCTTCTACACAGTACTGGATACTGCTTCCCTTCTTCGACTCGTCTATAATACAACCTATTACCAAAAAGTACGAAACTTTCAAACTAATCGACGAGTATGCACAAAAAGATCCAAGCTTTTTACTACCCTTTGTTCTCTAAACTCTCAAAATCTATCAAATTCGATGAACAATGTTAAGATTACTTCAAAATTCGCAGAATAAACAAGAAAATCTGTTGATTTCAATTGACCCACCAAGGTCCCCAACGAAGAGGAGGCGTGGAGAGCTCAAAAGACAAGCGAGAAGCCATCTCAGACTGAAGCTTGGTCTGAATCCAATCAGTATCAGCCAAAACAGCTTCGGTATACTTCTCTTCTTGCTCCATATAGATATCCATATGACGCATCGCTACTTTGTCTTCGAGTTTCGACATCCAACTGTAAGGATCCTCCCACGTCGCGTCGTGGAAGGTGAAAGTTTGAGGCTTTTTCGGCGGTTTTGGTAACGCCGGTGGTGGTGGAGGCGGCGGTGGCGACTTCGGAGACTTGTAACGGCGACATTGTTGTTGCCGGAAACGACAATTATGACGGAAGGTCCGAGACAGATGGCTCAACATTTCTTCCGGTTACTTATTGGGGTTTACAGGGTTTTTGTGTCTAGGCCTTTTGAAAGGGTTAAGCTGTAAAAAACAGAAAGTTAAGGGGCTATACTTATAAAATAGTAAGAAACTAGGGGGGAGAGAAAGCAAACCTCGTAATTTACCTTTTTAATTTTATTCTCTGATAGGTTTTCCTTCTTCATTTAACCTTGTCAGACTTTAGAACAATTCATTACATTATTTACATCGATCCTCTCGTCTTTTCTTATCAAATCCTCTGCTTTTGAGATCTTCTTGATTCTTTACCAAAAACCCTAATTACAGAATTCCGAAACAATGGTTGAAACTGGTGAAAAGGTTTCGTCTTCACCATCTTACGAACGCAAAGACTTAGAATTTTTCAAGGTTTTTCTCCCTGAATTTAGTTCTCGCGAACTGGTAATGTTTCTATATATCTCTGTTTCTTCTTTTCTTAATATCAACAACAAAAATTTCCTTTTCTTTTGATGAAATTAAAACATATGCAGGTAATACCACCAGCATTCATCGATATCTTAGAGAAACCATTACCTAATGAAGTTTCATTACTCGATGAGATCGGAAGATTATGGTATCTAGAGACAAAAACACAAGACACGGAAGAAAGATCTCGTGTAGTTTTCCAAAAAGGTTGGAAGAATTTCGTTGAAGATCAATCTCTTGAATTTGGAGACTTTCTAGTGTTTTGTTACGACGGAGATTCGAGATTTTCCGTTACGGTTTTCGCTAATGACGGGATTAAAAAAGATCTTGGTACTATCGTCACAAACACGGAGAGATCTAGGGTTTCTGTTGAGAAAGAGAAAGAACCGGTTGTAGTTAAACCGGTTGATAGTTTTACCAAACCGGAACGTAGTAAAGATTGTGGCAAGAAGCGGAAACGGAAACAAGATTCGGTTAAGGAAGAGCCTATTGATTTGGTTGAGAGTGAAGCGGAGTATATTTCAACTAGCAAAACCAAACCGGAACATCGAGAAGTTAACCGGGATGGAGGTACTTAACATTACTGTTTTTTTTTCTTAACTTTTTATGAAGTCGAGTGATTTTTGAATCATATATTGTTCATTGTTGTTATGTAGATCCTTGTGAGAAGAAACAAAAACGATTTGAAAAACCGAAGAATCCGCACTTTCTGAGGAATATTACAAATAGTGTACTTCAGAGACTGGTGAGCTTAAAGAATCGTTTTTTTTTCTTACAAATCTATCTTAATGGTACCATATAAACCTAGATCAATCTCTATATATATGTGTTGCTAGGAAATACCGATAACGTTTCTGAAATCGAACGGGATCGAACTGGAGAAAGATATCGAGCTTTGCGATGAAAATGGAAAGAAGTGGCCAATGAAGATTGTGAATTGCCATAGAGGACTCAGGTTCTCATCTGAATCATGGTTGTGTTTCTGTAGAAGCCATAAGTTGATGAAGACCAATAAGCTTTTATTTGAGTTTATTGTCCCAAGTAATGGGAGATGCAACGAGATTCTAGTTCGTTTTGTCAGTGGGAGATTGCTTACTACTATGACCAAAAGTAAATACCAAGTTCTTGCTATGTTGTAACCTTAACAACTTTATGTTATGTGATCGGTTCTCTTATATATGAATCTTTTGTGTTACTATTATTTATTTTATATAAGTTTTGGAAATCTGTCGTATAAGTTTTGGAATCACAAATCTTTTGTGTCACATAAGTTTAGATTGTTGTAAATCAAATAAAGATTATTGTCCATTCCAAATTATTAACCTTTGTCTGTCATGGATTCCATTATAGTTTCAATTTAATCAAATATTACTATTACATATGCTCATTTTAAAAATATAATTAATGTGCATCTGTTTTGTGGTAGTCAAAATGGTTCACTTTGATCGGAATAATATTTTGATCACTTAAAATATCTGGGTTTTCCATGTATTTTAGAATCGTTTCGGAATCTTTCAGATAATATAAAAATGTGACATTTTTTTGTCTCATTATGCAAAGAGTTGTAAAATTAAAAACAATTTTAAGGACATGAAGAACGCACTAAACATATAGGAAACGAGTCACTCAAAGCTAAAGCTACGGTACGTAACTACGTACGTAGGAAAGCACATAGTTTAGTTTAGTTTGTGTCCTTTCTTTTATATACTAATGAAAAGCCAAAATCAGCCACCGGTTTTCACATAACCAAGGGGACCAAAGCCCAACGTAATAATATATTTCCCCACTTTTTTCCTTATAATAACAATTTTTAATATACAAGCTACAATATCTGAATGCGAAGTTTCACCTATCCATTATTGCATGCTATGTATATATAAATACACACACTAGTGTTTGTTGTTAAGAACTTCACAATCACAACAAAATAATACTAATTCAGAGAGTTTTTTATTTTTTTCTCTTATTAGTATAATAATGGAGTTTGTGATTTCGAAACGAGTCCAATCTGGGGAAGGAGAGGAGGAGAGTTTGAAAGGAGAACAAGTATCGAAGCAACTACATCTGAAGTCGTCTGAAACGCAAACGCAGACGCTGAACAAAAAAGCGGTTCTTAACCGCATCCGCAACCACAAATGTATTTACAAAATCAAGAGTTTCCTTCACCCCACCGCCGCTAATAACGGAACCACCGTCGACGCTGATTACCGGTGGATTGATAACGGCGATGTCTTCTCTTGTCCGTGAGATTTTGACACGTGTGTGTTTGTGATCTCTTGTCTCTTCTTCAACTTGTCTTAAATGTAATTCTAATGATCATCATAATTTTTAGATTTGCGAAATGAGTATTGGGATTCGGATTTATGCGATGTGATAAAGTGGGCCATAAGTTTTGTTGGGCTTTATCTAAGACCAATCAAAGCCCAGTAATATACTTGACGCTCTCGGTTCGAGAAACAATGAGAATTATAATACCGAAACCAACCTGAAAATAAAAAAAATCTTGAATTGGTTTTTTCTTCTTCCACTTATCATATTGTAAGCAAATCGAATCGACTTAAAAGTAAATCATAATTTTATAATCTAAAAATAAATTGATAATTTGCTAAACAAATCCGAAAAGCCATATAACAAGTATTTTTTGTCTTTTCATAATGGTCTAGTCTCTAGTGGCTGACGTTGACACACTGTGTTTAAATTGTAATTCATGATTATAAGATCATCTCCAATGTATATCTCTATTTTTATCTCTAAAATAGAGAAAATTATAACATTTCTCTATTTCTTCTCCAATGTATCTTTATTTTAGAGGAATTGCTATAATATAGAGGAAAAAATAGCAATTCCCTATTTTTGCCTCTATATATAGAGGAATGCTATAATTT